ATATCTCGGTATGGGCAATTTGGGGATTAGGGTTTTGGGGGTTCAACTTTAGAAAATACACTATCTTGAGAATTTGAATGTTTAACTATGTATGCATGATTGGTTTGGTGACTTGTATCTACTATGGTGGAAGCTTATCTTGAGAAAATTTGAAATGTGTGGAGTTTCAAGTTTGATTACGGCTCTGGAAGTAGCTCCTTCTCAAGTTTGATGAACTGCATTTTTTATTACAGATTGTGAGGAAGATGAATTTTCAAACCACAGGTCGTGTTGGAAGCATATTGCTGCTTTGAATACGCGTGGCACGAAACGAAAACCAACCGAGAAGGAGTTTGAGCTTTTCAAATCGAATGCCCCTTGTTTCTATGAGGAATGCACACGCCGTCAAAGGTCATTAAGAAGAATCAAGTGCAAGTATTTAGTCTCTAAGCTAAGCAAAAAACTGAAATCCAACACGTTTGTGGATTACCTAGAGTAAGCAAGCAAGTATCTCTTTTTACTCGAAAAAATAAAGAAATTGTTCTTGTTTGCGGTTCTTTTACTTACAGTTTTGGAATACTGTGAATAGGGATATATGGAAGGGCTTCTCCGATGAGAAAAAGAACTCTTTTGTGTACGTAGATTGTCTATGGTTCAGTATGTACAAAAGCGAAAACCAAAGAATTAGAAGCAGTGTTTTCGAATCCATTAAGACAAAGCAGATCTTCTCAAAGAAATATGTGTTTCTTCCTATCGTCTACTGGTAAGTCAATTTTGCCGTATATGTTCTTGAAATGCTTTCAAAATACAATTGTTTAATCCTAATGTTGTTTTCTAATTTCCTTAGGAGCCACTGGACTTTGTTGATCTTTTGCAATTTTGGGGAGGATCTTGATTCAGATACTGGGAACACATGCATGTTGTTTCTTGATTCGTTAAAAGCAACCAACTCTTCACAGCTGCTTGAACCGGATATAAGAAAGTGAGTACTTTTTTTTGTTTTCATCTTGAGCAAAGGAGAATGTGTTTTTTTGTCGAAGCTAGTGCAATAATATGTATGTCCTTGTTGTATTTCAGGTTTGTGTTGGACATATATAGAATCGAGGGAAGAACTGAAGACCAAAGCTTGGTTGATGATATTGAGCTCTTTGTGCCAGATGTAATGAGTGCATCTACCAAGTTATTTTGGATTTTCTTGATGCTTATATCTGAGAATTGGATTTACTTCTCATAATTTCAGGTTCCACAGCAGACGAATGATGTGGAATGTGGAAGCTTTGTTCTCTACTACATTCAGCGGTTCATAGAAGATGCCCCTGAGAACTTCAGCATCGATGATTACCCATATTTCGTAAGTTTTATCACTCAATAAACATTTTTTACCGAGTTTTGTTTTTGGGGAATCTTGAAATGCTTGCCTGGTTTTGTTTGAAATTCGCAGATGAAAGAAGACTGGTTTAGCCATAAAGACTTGGAAGAGTTCTGCAACAAGCTTGATTCTTTGGGAACCATTCACTGACCAAAGTTTTTACTTCTAATGGCGCAGAAGATAGTTCCATCTTGATAAATGAGAAGACGAACTTGGGAAGATTCAAACGGGTAAAGAGATTCTCAAGTAGTTGCTTGTTCGTATGGAATCTCAAACTTCATTAGGAGGAATCTTAGAGTTATCCTCTTCTGTGCATACATTTTCTCCCCTTTTCGTGTTCTTTGATATGTCTACCAAACTGTTCTGGTTTTGTCCGAGGCAGTTTGTTATTAATCATGTCTAGTGGGGACCAATCGATTTTTAGCTTGCATCATTGATTAGATAAGAAATCTAAATGGAAGAAATTCTGACTTGGAAGAAGAAAAGTATTTTCCCTTTTTTAGCATCTGTAATTGTATCTAACCCTGAATTAGTCGCCAGCTTCTGCAATGGTTTGCATCTCGAATTTAATTTGTTAATCAAAGTGGTTAAAACACCCTATAGAGACATCAATTTGGTGTTCAGCTCAGTAATCAGAAACAAGGCCCTACCTTTCAAAGCTAAAACTTGTAATAGCTATCAAAAATTGAACCAACACAATAAGAAATGTTGCTATATACAAGCGATGAAAGCCAAATTAATGGGAATGGCCAGTTTCTAGAGATGAACATTTGAAGAAGGAAGTTTGATTGATGTCAGCTTAGAGATACCAGAAGGTAGACTAATGCTCATCGGTCCATTGCTGCTGCTACTTCCATCGGTTGATTCTAAAGCTCGGGAAGTTTGGAGAGCCATCTCGGCGTGGAGTTGGAGACATGACAAAGCCATCTAACACAACACAAGACAAATAATTACTCTTCAATCATGTTTAAGCTAATCAAAAACCCAAGCTGTTGATTTCCTTTAGCTATAAGCAAAATCTACTAAGAGGCAGATCTGCACGGGATTGTATGACTTACTGTGTAGCAGTCTCGGTCGATGTCTGAGTCAGCTATTTGAATAGCCCACGTTCTGATCCATTCAAGAGCTCTGGCAAGTTCAAAATTTCCTTCAACTAAGGCTGATACTATGTAAGACGGGTGAAGAGCAACTAAAACAGAAGAGGCTGCAAAAAGAACCGCCCTTCGGACATAGGCTTCTGGGTGATTGCATACTTCCCTGTATTGAGTTTGTCAAGCATAAAAGTATTCAGTGTAGGTGCCAAAGTATGGATAAAAGTTAAAAAGTTTAGCTGTACCTTCGTTGTAACATATCTAGAAGAGAGATAGCTAATGCAGATGCTTCTGGGTGCATTGATGCACATTGCATACAGACGCCGAGCATGTGAACAAGTTTACCAAGGACAACAAAGTCCCTGCCAAGTAAGTCAACGCCATGTCGTTTCTTGTCAAACTCTTTCATGGCTGGAAGCATAAATGCTGCTGCATATAGTGGAAACCTATTTTGGGACCAGTCGGTACTGTTTTGGTCTTTGTCTCCTGATCTGAGGCCCCATCTTCGAGTTTTCCCTTTCTTCGTCTGTCCAGGTTTTGACTGTAGCTCCCTCTCAAATCGGTTTGCCCAGTTTTGATGAAAAGATCCTGTCTCTGAGACCTTTTTCCATGGGGTACTCGCATTGCTAGGCAAATACCAGGGTTGAGGATGTGAGATATTTGATATCAGCGGTCCACGTGCTTCATGTTTAGGTTTCAGGGTCCTAGAATTAGCAAGCTCTCGAGCTGCTTCAGCCATGACATCAAGTATCATAATGCGCTGGCTTACGTCTAGATTAGGCGAATACAAAATACTGTTAAGAGTTTCAAGGGATTCAAATGGACGGGTCACAAGCAATGCAATTAGAGCTCTTTGCCGCTTCTCTTCTGCTGAATCTTCTTCACCTTCAATTGTTATATTAGAGCAGCGAACTTGTACAAGAACTCGAGTAAGATCACCAGCTATATGAGTCAGTTCATCAGGTGATACTCGCACAAGTTTCTCCGCAACATATATAGCTTTCTCCACCTGCAATACGTAATTTCCATTAAAAAATAGCCTTTTGTGTTGCTTCTTAATGAAAGAATGTGCTGACTAATAGTCCAACAAAAACAATCCAAAATTCTAACGTCACATATAATCCTCTCTAGTTACGTACCCCATCAGCATCATCTGTTTTCCGAAGAGCTCCAACAACATCCACCAACTGTGTAAATTGTTTCTCTAAATCCTTGTCATCATCTAATAGATCATATGGCTCCAAAGAAGTGACACTTGAATTATCAGAGCTGACACTTGCATTATCATCATTATCACTCTCTGTTTCACAGGTTAAGGTAGCCAAATCAACTATTTCATCTGGATCAGCCAATACAAAATCAGATATGTTCTTGCTCTTGCGATTTTTCTTTTCCTTGTTTCTGCGGCTAGATTCATTTACTTCAGTTAAGGAGGCCGATGTTTTGGTTGCACCATCTTCATTTTCCATTGAATTCGTGATTGACCGGACCCCTCCCACAGCCGTTTGCAATTCAAATTCCCAGTCAATTGCATTCCCAGTGAATGAATCATCAAGGTACAGAGGATTCTTTGGGTCAATTACTTTAGAGAACATAAAGGCAATAGTGCTACCCATTTTCCGTACTAGATCTCCTGGGTTCTCCAGTCTACCTGTTGGCAATAATAAGCACAAGATTTAACACCACAGAAGCATTTAACTTCTTTACACAAGATACTGAGAGAGATGAGTCTATACATGTAACTCCTTGAAGAATATTGTGCATTACATCCTTTGTTCTATCTAGTTCCTCTCTTGACATGTTCTCCAGGAAAAGCCCAAGAGCTGTAGTTATATCTGCAACATATATTACGGGAAACAAGAGCTAAAAGACTTACACAGGAGCATGAAAATTAAATCATTGCTTCGCCAACTAAACATTGATTAAACAATACGTTTATTAAAACCTACAAGATGTGATTGATTCATCGGCAAAAATCAAGTTTAAGCTAGAAGAGGATACAAGCTTGCTGCTCCAATGGGACGGACTGCAGAAACTCCCCTTTTGACCAAACTGAGGCTATTCTCTGCGTTGTTTCAAGCAGTCCATGCGTCATGTCACCTTTAGCAAGTGTATTAGTAACCGGTGGGCACTCAAGAACCGAAAATTGTAAGATCCATCGCAGACAACGGATAGGAAACACTTTCCACAGCAAAAATTTGTCAACAAATATGGACCTGAAAAATAAAGTCCACAAAATTATTTGCAAAATAGACTAAAGTGGGATAAACCAAAAGACAGCAAATCTGTTTCCCTTGAAAGTAAAACACATCATAGTTCCAGCCCCTCACTCACTTCTGATGAACCGCATTATTTCACATGATTAGCGAGGGACTTGAGATAAAAGACAAGGGAGTATTTAAACAAAGAATCGAACTGCCAAAGAAAACATTTTGCTTGCCTCACTGATGCTTGATGTTTTATATTGGAATGAAACAAAGTCCAAATAGTCCAGAAAGCTTCAACATCACTTGCATGCTCAGCATATAACTGATGTAAAAGTTGTTCAGCCATTTTCTCAACAGCATACGGATCTGTCACTGCTTCCATAGTTTTCGACCAAATCTGGGGTGTAGGGTCCACTTGAAATGTTTCAATCTCAACAAAACCCTTCTTTGCGTTTAGTAACCTCCTAACATGAGCTAGGACACGAGGTGTTACTTCACTTAATAGCAAATCTGCAGATTAAAAACATAATCTGAAGTATATCATGATTTTGTATCATGAAAATAACTGCAATCAAAAACACATCACCACACTATCCAGAACATATCAGTCAATAAAAGAGTACCGTCGGTACTAAAATAAAGATATTATGGCACATCCTTTCTCATGTCTGTAACAAGGATCAGATCTACGTTTTTCCAACTCCCCAATCTAGGGGACAGATAATGAATACAAGCAATTCCATGGTAATTTACAACCCACAAGATACTAAAAAATATAACTGAAACTTTTTTTGGACACCACAGTGGGTAGAGAAGTGTAATGCTTGGAGTATATATACCTGATAATCCGCGTCGACAGATGCGAGAAAAAATTTCCCCGACAAACGATAAAACGAGAACTGTGCTATTGGCCTCAGAGCAGGAAGCTCTGTCGTCCAATATCTGTAGAAGCTGATTGGTAATGTGCTTGAAGTACAAGCTATAGGACTCATGTAAAAGAAAACACTGACCTCAAAGCATTTGATAATTAACATAAAAAGGTATCTAATTACTTAACAGAGGCTAAAATACATCACACTGAAGGCACTAGAGTCTGTGTGTATAGAGAAAAGGATACTGAGAAGAAAGTAAAGGCGGGGCTTTCAACCGTGCTTTATCAGGAATGGAGGTTAGGATCTGTGATAGCCTGGATAACAAAGGCTTGAGACTTCCATTCCTAGAATTCTCTCCTTGATAACAATCATCAATTTCTTTAGTCATCTTGAGCACTCCAGCATTTTCAAGCAAACACAATATAAGCAATCTGTCATTAAAGCAAAATCTCATCACGGCAGCCTAAGAATATTCGGATACTAGCATTTACATCAGCTACAGTCTAAACATGCCACTGGACATAGGTTTATATACATATAAATTGTCAAGATGGAAGATTGCTTCTTGGGTCATTCAAATAAGTTTTATTGTCTACATCTTCGGATTTCTCAGTGGGGTCAAACAGTAATTGTTCTTCCTGAGAGATATATTCAGAACATGCCTAAACATGACTCAAATACTTGAAAGGTGAAGAAGGATTAAAGAAAACATTGGTCTGCACTGACGTGACCAAACACAAGAAAATATCTCTGGCTATAAAATACCATGAACCAAAAAATTGTAGAAGAGGCAGCGATTTACGCTACTAGTTTTCCAATGGAAGCTCCATGATAAAGAACAAATATAAAAAAAAATCAAAAGAGAAGTGTGTTTTGGGGCACCTTTCCACATTGGTCTGGACAGGATTGGCATCAACTCCACCATTTTTTCCCACATGATGTAGAAATGGAACCAAAACCTGAACAACCTCGATAACAGGTCCATCTAAGAAGAACAAATCATACAAATGTTTCTGCACTGAAATAGGGAAACAAGAGAGCCAATCCGAGGCAACATCTGCACACAACCAAAAACAAGAATTAGTTGAACATAAATCAACAAAACTTCCAAATTGGATAAAGGAAACAACACTTGACATAACTCAAATCACACCGTGGCTAACAAAATCAGTGTCGAAACAGAACACAGTAGCAAATTAAAAACCAGAACACTTTTCTACCCTGACACAATCAGAATTTGATATAAACTTACCAAGCAATAAAACCCGAGCAAACGTTGGAAATGCAACCCCTCGATAAAACCAATCATTTCTCTCATCTGCACAAGGAACTACGGAGATGCACACCTGTGGGGTGACCAAATACAGAACCATAGGTAAGCCATTGATTCCTGAACCAAGAAAGATGTGAAAGAATTTGAAATTTCACAAAACAAACCCTTTCTCTGTACTTGTCACCAATACTCCCTGCAATTACATGGACGAAATCAATAAGTTTCACAAACAGCCCAAAAACTACAAGGAGAAATCAGAAGTACCGGAAAAAACGGATGGGTCGACCGGGAAGAGAAGAACGGCGACGGAATGAATAGCGGAGATGACTTGGTCGACGTGCTTCGCATCACCAATAAAAGAGATGGCTTCTCCGACCTTATCGAGCAAATCTTTCTCATGCTTAGTCGCTTCGGCCATGGATGGAACTGGAGAGAGTGAAATTGAAAAATTCTTCCGTAGCATCTAAATTCTAAGAAGAAGACATAAACGTCGTCGTATTAAATTTCTGAAGAGAGGCTAAACGATGACGTTTTATAAACGGAAAGCACAAGAAATAAAACTCATTTTTCGTGTTCACTTTCCTCGGCACTTCTCTTGTGGTATATCCTTACTATCCCAACGACCCAAGCTGTAAATTATGAGAATGTATGCTCTGAGAGTCATGTAGGTAAAAATTAACCTATTAATAAGTTTTACTCATTATAAAAGTCAAATGTTACCTAGGTCCGAGAGGCATAGGAATGACATAAGCCCAAATGTTATAACTCCAAATTCTACGGGATACACGACGTCCGATCACGGGATATGCAAACATCCACAACCCACGAGATAGACGAGGTTCAAATCCTACGGAATATAAGAGCTCCAACTTATGATAAGATCGAATCTCTAGAAGATAGATTCGGAGCTGACGTGTCAACATAATCCGAAATGAACTAGGGTTTGGGAGATCTTTGTAAAAGAGAGAGCTCCAAAAACATGAGAGGAGAACGAAAGAAAACGAACAACTCTAAACAACATACTCTCGCCACTTCCGAGAACAAGCTACATGACCACAACAAAGCTCTCATTCTTGTTAATCTGAAACAACCTATGATTCAACGACAACATCTGAATCACCGAACATCTTCTTCAAGCAACAACTTAACGCTTTCGATTTATTATTGTAGTTTCAAATTGTGTTGTTCAAAGATCATTCATCAATAAAGAAATATTATCTTCCATCTAGAACTTTTTATTTCGAACTTGTTAATTTACCTCAAACACATGCTTCCTACTGAACATATACTGATGCCTCTTAGAAATGAGATTCGGTTGTGAATGGAATTGGTTTGGTAATGAGCGACTTAAGAGGTGAAGTAAGATGGTTTAGACTTTAGAGCCAAGATGAACTCCTATCAAGTTTGGGTGCAAAAACTATCTCAATGTCAGCTTTGAATGGTTATGCATTACGAATCAAAATAATTTGACTAACATTTTAGTACGTTAAAATGCATACTTGAATACCAGATCTAGAGTGGACTGGAACATTTCATCTGGAATAAACCGGAGAAAAATACGAATGGTGAAAAAAGTAGGAATTGGTATGCCTTTGGTCCGATTTAAATTGGACTCTACAACCATTTAAAGCCATAAGGTATATCTTGTTTGGACAATCTACGTATTATTTGAAACATATGCAACATAGGAGTTAAATCAAATCAATGAAAGACAGTAGCATTCTTTAGCTAAGACTCACATATTCTTTTTTTTTTTAATCCATCTGTTCTTATATATATCAACTAAATTAATCGAAATTTTTATAAAACGCCATATCTCCTTCACATGAACTTGTATTGGGATGAATCGAATTCGAAGCAATTCTCTGATGATTTAAGTTTTTATAACTGGTTGTTTTGTTGCTTTTAACTCCTTCTGGTTCGTCTTGTAGGTTCCTTGGAAAGCACATATTCCCTTACTGGTTTCTAGTCGGTTTGAAATCTCGCCTTGTTGGATCTCTGTTTAGAAAAGTAGGTATATGACACAAATAGATCGGATAAAATTTTAATTTTTGTTTCATTGTGTCATCATCATCATCACATTTGCATTAACGTGGTATAAAAGATTCGTGTGGTATTAAAGAAACAATGTAAAAAAAAATCGAAAACCATTTCAATCATAAATGGTTTAATTTCTTTCCCAACAGGTAACTAAATTTAGGACGAGTGAAACTGCCTCCGAGAAACATATCGGCCATAATCTTATACATGCCCTCTGTCAAATGGACACCGTCCCAGTTGATATACCGGCTCGGGTCCTTACACACCGTGGCTTCAGCCGTCCCACACGTCTCGAACACTTGGAAGTTGTAAGGCTCTCCGATTCCACAACACGCCTTGAACTTCTCGGTGATTCCGTACTTTTTAGGGTTTCGTATCACCGCACGGTAGGCATTCCAGTAATCTGCGTAGACTATTGTAGCATTCGGATACTTGATCCTGTATATTTATAAAAAAAATTAATAGCCCTTTATCGAACAGAAATTAGGGATAGACATTTCGTTTGTTGTTTGAATGTTTGTCTTGTCTTTTAGGCTGAAATGAAACTGAATACAAACACAATTTTGAATAGAGTAACTAGCTCACTTTTATACAATTTAAATCGGTTTAAAAGATTATGATGAATGATTGTGAAAAAATTTGTAAGAAAACAAATTTCTTCAACTTTTCAAATATCTAGATACTTTAGAAATATCAAATATCAACTTTTCATATGTCAGCTTTATAGGTTTTTGCTTTATGTGTTATAATGATGATATAGTTGGTTTAGTTCGTTATTTTTGTTAAGCATATGTATAACACAGAGGAATTATAAAAACTGACCTAAGTTGTTTAAGTTTTGATTGCAGAGCAAGATTGTGAGTGTAACTCTGGTTATTGGCACTCTGTACACATCCTAGATTGTCTCGATCATCTTCTGCGGCCAGTGACATCGCTAATGTCAAGCATCCAGTTGCCGGATGTCCTTGTACCAACATATATTTCACACCTTTGTTCAACAATGTCTGCAATTAAAATTAGAAAAAAAAAAAAAAGGTTATAAACCAAACAAACGTAATAGGACCAATCCAAATCAGTCAATCTAGATATGATTCTTCTATTTGT